CTGATGTGGGAGAGAAAGCTGAGGCTTACTATCCACGAGGCAGTTCATCCTAGATGGGTTCCGGAAAGAAGGGTTTGTGTTAGAAAAGGATTTTAGTGGATTTTGTAGAAGAAAACAAGCTGTTTGCTTATTAAGTGATATTTTGTATTATTGGGGAAATTATCCAATGTTCAATAGTTGATCAAATAAGTCTTGTGACCCTTGTAGATTATTATCCAGAACTATTTAGAATAGCTCTCACTACTGAAGACCTACTATGTGCCAGGCAGTTTATATGTGTAATCTCATTTATTCCTCCCGATAATTTCATGAAGAGGATTATGTGAGATTATAGCTGTAATTTCTTTATCACTTAAGATGTGTGCTAAGTGTTTCACCTAAATTACCTAATTTAATCCTCACAATGACCATAAGAGGGAAGTACTTGTAAGTACCATTCTACACATGAGGAGATTAAGGTTTTGAGAGATTAAAGAAATTGCCCACATTTGCATATCTCATAAATATTGAAACTAAGATTCAAATCTGTGTCTTTTTTTTTTTTTTTTTTTTTTACTCTGGAACTCATGTTCTTACCTGCTAAGAATAAGAGAATACCTAGGAGATTCAAGTGTAAGGAGCATAAAGCATCATGACATGTTTGCTGTAAAATGTCCTCCAATGGGACAGAGGAATAAATATTGGCAAGGTACTAAGACAGAGGAATGCAAATGAGCATGATTGTGTGTCTACTTGCCGGAGCATTTGATGATGATTGTGACTCTGTGCAGTAAGGTTCCCTGAGAAGAGCTGATCTCAGAGGTGAGAATATCTAAGCTGGGAATGCCAAAAGGCCTGGGCCCTGTAGGAATTGCATCTGCATTAGCAACAAGGGTCTTCTCTGAGAACATCAGGTTTTATTTACCCAACAAATCTCATTTATTGATTCATTGATTTTTCTATTTCCTTATTCACTTAGTCACTGTGCATCTGTGTGGTAGGCACTGTGTTATATCCTGCAGCCACAGATGAAACAGGGTGACGTGGGCCCTGTCTTGCTCTGGGAGTGGCAAGAGGCCATGTAAAGCAGATGCCTTGGTTTCTATGATCATGGCATACCTGCAAAAGTCCAACGGCAGCTTTATATGCTAAAACCATAAGATTCAGAGGTGTCTTGTTTACTATATTATAATTACTCATAATAAAGGGCAGAATTGCTGTATCATCCATCATATTCTATGCTACTAAGGAATTGATTCTACAGACACAATGCATACTAAGCAGATCTGCACAGACCTTGCATGTGGCAACAGTAGAGCTGTGGCTCTAGTCTACCTCTATATATCTTAAAATCTTTATTTTCTCAGTACCTGTCCCACCACTTGGCACATTACGCACACTCAATAGTTGCTCATTGTGTAGAATTGTGTTTAGTCTTAAGAAGCCAACACTTTGATATTCTTGTTTTATCATTTATTATAATATGTGATATGGGGATGTATAAAAATTCATTCATTTCAGATTTTAATATGCTGTTAGCTTTAATGGAATTACAAATGTGACAAAGAACAAAAAATTCAGAGAAATCATTACTTAATATTCTAAATAAAGAGTATTAAAACATGGAATAGTTCATATGTGTTATTCATGAAAAACCTCTTTTCAGAAGATAAAAATACATCTCAAAATCAAATTATAACATCATACAGGCAGGTGGTGACTATAGCACTGAAGGGAAAAAAAGTCAGTGAAGTTAACTAAAGGCTGTTAGAGAGAAAAAAATATGTAAAACAGTCAAAGTTTATGAAATTAGAGCTTTAAATGCCAAGTTTGAATTTGAGTAGGTCACTCTCTTGTCTTAACTTCCATATGATGCCAGGAAGGCTGCTGCATGCCCAGAACAGTGCAGGACAATGTGTGGCATCAATTTGATTTTCTAGCCACCATAGAAACCTGCTAGCTGTCACCATACAACCATGAGGTTCAGAAAAATCAAGTATCTGAAAAAAACCAGAGTTTTCAGTACTGGGAAATTCCATCTACTTTATTGACCCTCCATGTCTACAAAAATGCCAGTCCTCTCACTTTTCTAGTCTTCAAGGTGAAAAGGAGGCTGTTAGTGATGGTCAGGGCTGGAGTTGGAATAATAGGAACCCTATCCAGGTAGCTCTTCAGTCCCCAAACTGTCAGCAGCATAAAGCATTACCTGGGTGCTTAAATATCACAGGAAGAGTCACTGGTCAAGACCAGTAACAGAAAAATGTATTTGGCAGAACTCTTTTCTGGAAGAAAGCTTTGTGAATTGAAAGCCATATTGATAAACTGATTAGGGGTAGAGTGAGGCCACCCAGGCAATTGAGACAATAGATTGTCTGTAAACCTCCCGGAAGATGATGGGAGCCATTCACACCACAGGATTTTTTGGTTTTGCAGAATGAGAATACACAAAATTATGGCTAGGAAGGAGTTACTGTTCATCCTTCTTGGCTCTTTATCACTTAATAAGCAGCCACTCCTCTGAATAAATGTGAAAGATATTTAAAGAATATTGTATTGGTGCACTTATTTAAAAAGTTACTAAATTTTCACAAATGTCGCAGCCCACTCTTACGTACTTCTGATTAAACTGAAGGTATTCTTAGTTCTTCTTTCTATCTCATCATTTCCCCAAGGTCTTTGCCAAAGGAGGTTGTAGGATTTCTTGTCTTTGGAGTCCTTAGGCAGAACATAGATCATGCTCTCCTAGTGATGAAAAAGTAAACATTAGAATCTCTTAAATGTCTTTCCTAAACTCCCTCGCTGGCTCTTGTTATTCCATGTTTTAAATGCTTCTTAATTAAAGGTTGAAATACTGCCTCACCTACACTAAAATCTTTTACTCCTGTATAATTTCACTAAATCTTATTGTAATCGTGGAATGCTTTCTTATAAAATCAAGATTACATCCCCACCCAGATGTCGTCTTGCCTTCTTATGAAGCAATCCAGGATACTATTGAATTATGCAAATGACATTATTTTCTTGGATTGAAAACCAAAGACCCATGGAGTAAATATAAGCCTGTAATTGTTCATCTAGCTGACCAGGGAACTTTACTACCTTCAGGATATCTATATATAATACCTCTAGGATCTAAGAGTCAGCATGTACAGTCATAACAATGTTAAGCAAAGATTTTGGTAGACCATGACTATGCAATGTATGCCACTAAAATATTCTTGTCTTTTAAGCACTTCCTAGCAGAATTTCTTTCTCCCTGAGCCATTAGAGATTTATTATGAGAGGCTTGTTTTCTTCTCTTTGAAGTTGTTTTTTCTCCCCTGTTTGCAGCACTTTAATAATATGAGGTGCTGCATGCTAGAGAAGCACTGAGGCAAGGAAAGGCTTCATGGAGCCACACTGAGAGAATTGAAACACCTCCCCATAATTCAGCCTTCCCTTTCCGTCCTCCTTCTGTCACCTAAAGAAAGTTATAACAAACAAACAAAAAAAGAATTAATATGGAAACACACGCAAACAGGGAGTTAGGGTTTTGTTTTTTACTTTTACATATGAAGAACAAAAGACCTCCACAAAGCTGCTGCAGGCTTCTAACACGATCAGGTCCTTTTCTGAGTCATTAAGTTGCTGAAGCCCAGAAAATCAAACTTGGTTTAAGGCTGTTTGATAATGTAGTAACACAGTAAAATGGGATTCACCAATTAGCTTGTGTCATTAGAAACTCAAAAACATGCTCTAAGTGGCTGGTGGACACACATCAGTAAAATCTGTTGTTGTTCTTTGTATTTGCTGATTATAGTTATAATTACACCTTCAGTTAATGATCCTACACCCAAATTCTTTATGGAAGAGAATCCACAAATTTCTGTGTTTATAAATCATATAAATAAATTAATTACTTAGTTCAGTCAGTCATTCATTCACTCCTTTTTTTTCCTTCATCAACTCTTTTTTGCCAGGCTCTATAAGGTAACGGGGCTATCTGGTCCCTGCCTCCATGGAGCTCTCAATCTACAAGAACTACACTGAAGTCCTTCTAAAGAAGGGAAAGTAAACTGAGGTTAAAACACTATAAAAAGTCTGGTTTTTAGTTAAAAATTAGACTTTCTGGCTGATTTCTAAATGCTAATGGTGTTGCCGAGACACATACAAGAAAAAAGAAACAGCCAATTGAAGAATTTTCTTGCTCAGAGGTTTGCCTGGCTGAGGACTCTGTGATAGATAAAAATGGGAACTGAATATTTGTTAGATTCTTTTAAAGCACTTCTTTACATATTCTGTATGCATATCTGTTGGAATCTGAGGCATGTGTTATATGTTGCCTGACTATATTTAAAATGTATTTCTGTAAATTCAAATCAATTCAAGGGTTGGTTGGGTGGCTAAAATGGTTCCTCACTAGGAATTTCAAACATGTCCTACTTTGCTCTTTTCTTATTGTTACTGAAGCACACGGGCATGGTTACATGGTCCAGGGCTTCCTAATAAATATAACAAGAGGATAATCAGGATGAATTACCTGAGCTTGAGCCAATAAAGAAAAGGCATTCCTTATCTGATGTGGTCATTCTTAGTGCTATTTTACAGCAAAAAATGACACATGGTTGTGCTGCCCTTACCACTGATGTTTTTAAGGTCAGATTTTGGTGTTCATTCATGGAAATTTAAAGAGATATTAGGAAATTATTTCCCTCGTAACTGTAACACTGCCCCCAGATGGTTTATTCTTTGTAAACTCACAAGGCATATTTTGTATTGCTTTACTGCTTGCTCTACCCCAAATATCACAGAATTCTGAGGGATGCGATAAGCTTTAATTATTTTTTGTAGAGTCTCACTCATATATTTTAGAATAGCTTAGATTATATTTTATTTGGATGAAAACGTACAATTACAAACATCAGTGAAGTATGATTTATTCATACCCAGAATGAAGCTTACCCCCCAAGTGTTTTTAAAAATGCACCTGTCTCCCTCTCATTATGTATTTCATCATTCTCTTTCTTTTTTCCTATTTACAGGTCAATGGGACAGAAATTGAATATGAGTTTGAAGAAATTACATTGGAGAGGGTAAGAAAAATTCAATAATCCAAAACCCCAATCTTGCATCCTAATGGGTTGTCTTGTGGAATTATACAATTGTGTATTATACCCTGGAAGTTTCCAAAAGGACTCACAATGAGAATATTAATGAAATGCTTGCAGTGGAGGGCATGGAAACAACCAGACCAAATCACCAGCATATTCAGTATGTAGATTGCGTTGCCAGGATTTGGAGAAATAAATGGTGAAAACAGAAACGTTCAGTGAGCTTGTGCAGTGCTTTTTTCCTATTGTTTTCATTATTAATGTTTTGCCATACATTTTTTAGATACATTACAAAATATTCTCATTTATATGATATTATCACTATCATCATAACTACCATTACCATGCATTTTTTAGTTTAAAAAAAAGTGATGGATTTTAAATCCATCCCCATAGAGAAAAACACAGCAACCCTACAGATCTCTGAAAGTATGCTGTTAAGGCCCTACCAAGGCTTCGACAAATTAGGGAAGTTCTTTGCAAAACAACCCTAATTTATAAAGATATTTTATGAAACAGTAAGAGAAAGGCTGAAGACTATCTGAGAAAAAAAAAAAAAGACCAAAAGGCATAAACAGGGCATTCATCAAAGAAGAAAAGGCCAATAGCGGATGAAAACCTGTTCAACCTTATTAATAAACAAAGAAAACAATGGTACCAAACCGTTTTTGTCTACCCAGTTTACGAAAATTTAAAAGGAAGTTTAATATTCACTGCCATTGAATGGGCCTGGAAATTGGTGCAACTTAAAAGAGCAATTTGAAAAAATGGATCAAAAGCCTTAAAATGGGTACTTTTTGACCCAGAAATTGCACTTACAGAAATGTGCAAATACACAAAGAATGGTCTTATTATTATTGTTTACAGTAATAAAGATTGAAAAAGATAATTGTTTTATAATATATGTCCAAATAATAGAAAATCTTATTAAATTATATAGCAATATTATTTTTAAAAATATTTAATTGGGGCCTGCCTGAGTGGTGTAGTGGTTAAGTTCACGCACTCTGCTTTGGTGGCCTGATGTTCACCAGTTCAGATCCCAGGCATGGACCTAGCACCACTTATCATGCCATGCTGTGGCAGGTGTACTACCTATAAAAGAGAAGAAGATGTTCGCTCAGGGCCAATCTTCCTCAGCAAAAAAAGAGGAGGATTGGTGGCAGATGTTAGCTCAGGGCTAGTCTTCCTAAAAAAAAAAACCAAAAAGATGTAATTACAAGAATAAAAAGTTCTAAGTAGACTATATTATTAAATTAAAAAATGAAGTTTTAAAATGATGTTTAAAATGTAATTCAATAAACACAAACAATAAACTACATGTGCATAATATACATTCTTAAATATGTACATAAAGCCTGGAAGGGAAAAATGTTAAAGGTGGTCAACTGTATTTATGGACTTTTGAGTAATTTTTAGTTTCTTCTTTTTGTTTATATTCATTTCCTAAACTTTCCAGAACAAACATATAATACATTTATAATAAGAAATAAAAATGTAAGTATTTTTCCTAAGCTATCATTCAAATATGAATTCAGACTGAGATTTACACTTAAATTTATATTTCCTTTTAAGTTTACTGATTATTCACCTTCCTGAGTCAGAGAATTCTCATTCTCAGCCTAATTTTTATTGAATGTGAGTGGTTTTAAAAGGAAATTTAAAAGTTTAAGTGTTTGACAGATAGGTTCTTTAAAACTTCCATTATGAACTTTGGTACAATTTTAATGGTATGCTAAATGGAGAAAAGTCAGACTTATAGAAAATTAGCCGAAATGAGAAAAAAGAACATATTTCTCCTTCTAAATCACTTGTCTCTCTAGGATTGGCTATATAAATTGTGGTATGTGTGCAAAATTAAAATGTGGGGCTCTTGTTTAAAAATTAGTAAGAATTAAAAGATAACAACAGCCGGGCGTTAAACTAAATGTGGCCCTTCTTAAATTCAAGACTCTTTTTGACTGCACAGATCTCACACTCCTGAGGCTAACTCCTCTCCCTCCTTTCACCTCACACACATAAACATCTTGAATATAACACCATTTACTTGCCCTGGTTTTATAGGTCAAACAATAGAGTCTAATGTTGGTATAAGGTAGAACATTCAGTAGGAGTCAGTTGTGGGTTCTAGTCTGTGTTCTGACACTTCCTTGCTTTATGATCTAGCATGTCGGCTCACGTCCTGCCCTAGGTTACAAGGCATACTCCAAACCTTGTCATTGCCATTAACCGTACTTCCTCTAAAACCTGTATGTCGAGTGTTATCTTCTCTGAACAGCACCTCCTCTCTGCCCTTATCATTTATTCTGTTACCCCGCTCCAAAAATTCTTCAATCCCATTGGGACCTCGAATCACTGATTTCACCATTTCCCTCCAGTTTTCACTCTTCTTCATGCCCTTCCTTCCCTCCTCCCTCAGCACATATTTCTTGGTCCACCACTTGATTTCTCCTTCTCATACACTCTTAACGTTTTTTCTCCTCTCTCCCTCTTTGTGTTCAAAACCTCAGCCCTGGTTAATCTACCTTGTTTAAACCAGTGTCTTCCTACCAACTCCATTGCTGGTACCTGGCAAATGGAACATGGCTAGAGAAGTACTCAGTCATCTCACTTTAAATTTATAACTGTTGGGTTCAAGTGAACTCTCAAAATATCCTAGCAATTCTTGTACATTTCTTTAGAAAAATCATTTTCTCATTTTCTGAGACAACAATTTCACTTATTTGCTTTCCTCAAATGTCAAGCACACTCTCCCTCATCCTGGCTTTCAGGTGTTGACTTCTCTTCATATGTCCTTGAGAAAATCCAAACAGTCAAATGAAAACCATCTTACTTTCCTATCATCAGGTTCACTAGTGTGCTCTCCCTGTTACAATGAAGGAATTTTCCCTGCTCTCCTTTCCAGGACCAGCTCTTCACTCATGACCTGGACTCCAAAACCTCTTGTCCATTTAAGTACTTTGCTTCTGCAGTTTTCTCCTCTCTCTCCTGCAATATCAGATTCTCTCTCAGTTTTTCTTGGGTAAATTTAATACAGACAGGATATAATATCTCTCATCTTACAAAAGAAATGTTCCTTAATCCAATGTTCCCTCCTATTATTGTCTCATTATTCTATTTTGCTTTACCAAAAATCTACAAACATTGTCTATTTTTATTAACTCCACTTTACTACCTCTTTCTCTTATTTTAACCTATTTATGTTTTCATCCCCACAATAGTCCTAAGGCTGTCCCTATCAAAGTCATGACAGGTTCCATCTTGCTGAATACAAGTATTAGTTCTCAGTCTTAACTCACCTCTCAGCAGCATTTGATGCAGCTGCCACTGCCTCTGTCCTCAAAGACGTTAATTTCTTGGCTTCCACAACAAAACACTGTCCTGCTTATTCACTACCTCACTGGCACCCTTTCTCAGCCTCCTTGCTGGCTCCTCCTCTAAATGTTGCAACACTCCAGAAACCCAGGGCAAAGACCTCTTCTCAATCTCTCCTCATTCCCTAGGTGATCTCATCCTAAATACCAACTCTCAATTGATGATTCCCAAATCTGAAGCCATGACCTCTTCTGGGCACTCCAAATGTGTATAGCTAATTGTCCAGTTGGCATCTCTGCTGAATATGAAGAAGGTCTCCTAAATTTAGTATGTTCCTAACAGAATTCATGATTTCCCTGCACTGCCTACTCTCAGGGCCAAAGCTACTTCTACCCAAACATTCTTCATCTTAACTAATTGGTTCTATCATTTTTCTTATTATTCAGAACAAAAAAAATCATCTAGGAGTCCTGCCTAATTGCTCTTTCTCTCAGCATGCAGAGCAAGTCCTACTGGTGCTACCATAAAATATATTTCAAAATCAGTCACATCTTACCACCTGCTCTGCTGAATCCTAGTCCAAACTAATATCATCCCATGCCTGGACCACTATAATAGCTTCCACTTGTGCTCATTCTTCTCTTCATAGTAACCAGAGTAATCTTTGTCAAAATATAAACCAGATCATACCACTTTTTTTCTTAAAACCCACCAAGAAGTGATAATTACACTCATTATCATCACCTACAAGATCTTAAACAACCTGACCTCTGCTTCTGTCTCTAACATTTTGCCCTCACCACCATCTTCTAGAGCATTTCACTCTAGCCACATTGACTTTCTCATTGTTCCTCAAAAAAGCCAAGCTTTTCCTATGTCTAGGGCTTTATATATGCTATTCTGTCTGCCTGGAAAAATCTCCCCTCAGATCTTTACATGGCTTGCTCTTTTCATTATTTAGATATCTGCTCAAATCTCTCCTCCTCGGAAAAATCTCCCGGTCCACCCCATTTATATTAGTACCAGCTTCCCCATCACACTTTTTTCCCTTTCCATAACTTTATTATATCTGAAATTTGCATTATTTACTCATTTGTTGTTTACTTTGCTAACATCTATCTCCTCCCCTAAATATATGTTATATCTAAATATAGAGTCACTTCTGCATCCAATCTGCCTAGAACAATGTCTGGAGTGTGGTATACACTCAGTGACATTTGGCACATGAGTGGACTTTGCCTGTGCTCTGCAAGTACAGTGAAGTAGAGACACATGGCCTGTGTTTGAACCTGGCTCTATCTGTTGCTGGTCAGATTACTTTCAGCTGAATACTTAACCTGTCTGTGCCTTAGTTTCCACATCCGAAAATAAGGCTCAAGTCTGGGTAATAACCTCCTAGGGCTGTTGTGATGATTAAATGAGTTAATATAAAGGTTCAAAAGAGCATATATAGTTGTTATTCTTAACATTTCCTTCGTGTTAACCTGGTATTTCTCACAAGTGTTATCAGGATCATTGAGGAAGCTTATTAAAAACGTAGCTTCTCTTGGGGCCAGCCTGGTGGCATAGTGGTTAAGTTCACATTCTCTGCTTCAGTAGCTGGGGGTTCCCAGGTTCAGATCCCAGGTGGGGACCTCGCTCTGCTCATCAAGCCATCCTCTGGTGGC